TGTGTTTGCCTGTATGTGCGGACAGTCGTCCCTCTCTAATCCGGCACCTTTTGCTACGGCGTTTTCTGCTGGATTAACGAGGGTGCTGGATTAAGAAATCCTGCCCTCTGACCCGGCCCCACCCAATTGCATGCATGTATCATACGTCAAAACGCAGGGTTTTTCCGTGTCGACCCAAGTATTTGGTGCACGGCTTTATATTCTCAACTGTTCTCCAGGAATATACACAGTGATAAAGTGATAAAGTAAAACAGAGAATATGTTCACATGTACTCTTGCACACACACACACACACAGACCTGAAAATTGGCAGGACACTACTCCTTGCTAAAATAAGAAAGTATGGTTGACTGCTTAGTATGGTTGACTGTAGTTAGTTGTAGAACGTCAGTACCGTCGGTCAGTGTCGTGCAATGTTATCGCATGAGCTGATTGTTCAGTAACTGGTGGTGTTAGTGGACAGTATAGCGTAACTTGTAGTTCCTTGGTCTTTCTCTTTGTATAAATTGAGTTAGGGTTCGGAAAAGTCCTAACAACCAACCGAACTGAACTCTCCCGCGCGATGTCGAGTACAGTTGGCAACTGAACTGAACTCTGAAGTGGCCCCGCGCGCGCGGCACTGACCAGACTGGCCTAGCCTGGCCTGGCAAGGAGTGCACCTGTACGGTACGCGATTTACGACTGCCGGATTATGAAATCAAACTACGTGCAGTTTGAGCGATTCGTTTCAAAAAGTCACTGCCGGAGGCGGAATTCAAGTGCCGGATTAAGATGTAGGAATTGAACGAAAAAAATCGGTTTCGTCAGAAAGTGCGCCGGTTGGCAAGGGTTCCAGATAAACAAGTGCCGGATTAGAGAGGGACAACTGTATAAGCTTACTGCGCATTGCCAAATATGGAAGGTGTGAGTAAATGCATGCGAGCACGCTGGGATCCGGAATGCACTGTTCCGCACCCCGGACGACCATGCCCAGGTGTGGTTGTGTGGGGTGTTTATGGTACAAATTATGTTATTGCGCAATGTGCTTGTTCTCTTGCAGTTCTTCCCGGACCCCAAGGCCAAGATACTGTTCTGCAATGCACTGACCAAGGCCGGGGCAAAGGGCGGCATTGAGCTGGTACGCCAGCGCATTGCCAAGCATAGGAAGGAAGAGGTGGCGCTGCCACTGACTCCCGCTCTGCAGCAGTTCATCCGGGTCAAGCGCCAGGACTGGCTGACTGATCTGGAGCAGATCCATGGTGTCAAGGTATTTGTTGTAATTTGTTTGTTACGAGAAACCACGAACCTCGAGAACAGAATACTGCATGATAGAGGTATGCGCGCATGCTACTGTAAAACAATAAACTTTCGCGGTGTGCAAATTTTGCGTTTCAAGAATAACACTAGGTCATGATGAGAAATATTTGCGATTTTCATCATTTTATCTCTTCAATTGGAACTTGTACAGTCTATAATCAATGTACGGAGCAGTTTGCGGTGATTTATATTATATTCGCGAATGTGTGGTGGTCGCGAAAATAGCGAAATTTAATCTTTAGCAAAAGTTTCTCACTTTACACAAGTATACAGTCACAGATCTCCTACGGCATAGCAGATACTGCATGTCTACAATGTTTCAGAGCGTTTCCTCCGGGGAACTTAATCACTTTACGGCCATATTAAAATGTCGTCTCGTGCTGCTCCTGCTTGTGTACTTTGTCACAGTGTGCCTTGCAAACTAATATTTCAGCCGAAATTTTTTTCAAATTCTCTGGCCGAAAATAGGCGAAAATAAGTATGCGCCGAATAGTGGAATACTAGTAGTTGTTGATTTTAATCCAGTATTCAATATTCATATGGTACTGCACATTCCATCCCTGTAGGTGCTTGGCCAGAGCAATTCTGCAGTCGACCGTGAGTTCACATCGACCATACGCAGCCCCTCACCTGCTGTGCTGAGTTACACAGTCTAGCACACTTTCAAAATGTTACCCCCCTCCCCGGGGCCAGATTGCACAATCCCGATCTACTGAGCGCGGTGGCACTTGGTTCGGAAAAACCCCACTGCTTCAGCAGGATGATCCTGATGTACCTCGTCCTCGTTTCCTAATCGTAGCCTTTGATCTCGTCCTCGTTTCCGAAGTGTAGTCTCTGGTCACTCGCTTCACTATGTCTGCCTCTATGCACAGCGGCGGCAACAGCAGCTCTGGCTACAGTTGTGTTTGACAATGGGTTCTGGATTGCTGTTGCTGTTTGGTCTTGTGTCCCAGGTCAATGCTGATAGCGATGAATGGACCGTGGTCGGTTCGCATGAGGACGTGGAGCAAGTGTGTCTGAAGTTTCAGGATCTCCGTGATATGTGTCCCACGCGACGGGTGAGTCCAGGGGATGGAGCGTGCGTGCGTGCGTGCGTGCGTGTGTGATGTGTGTGTGTGTGTGTGTGTGTGTGTGTGTGTGGTGTGTGTGTGTGTGGTGTGTGTGTGTGTGTGTGTGTGTGTGTGTGATGTGTGTGTGTGTGTGTGTGTGTGTGTGTGATGTGTGTGTGCGTGTGCGCGTGCGTGTGTGTGTGTGTGTGCGTGTGTGTGTGTGTGTGTGTGTGTGTGTGTGTGTGTGTGTGTGTGTGTGTGTAAAAAATAAAAAATAAAAAATAAAAAAATAAAATAAAAATAAATAAATAAATGAAAAAGACCAAAAAAGGGATTCACTGGCCAGAAAATATCACTCCAAATAGCTGTATGGTGTAGACCAGGCTGAATAGTGACAGTCAATTCTTCAGCCTTGCAAGCTGTTGAATGGTGTAATCCCAGCACAAGTTGCTGTGGCTTCTGCCGTAGCATTGCTATCATCGCCTCCGGCGATGGGCGTCAAAGATCAAGGTGTGTGTGTGTGTGTGTATGTGACCATGCAAAGAGTGTTGTTTGTGGTGCAGCGTGTTGATTGTTGATTGTTGGTTGTTGGTTGTTATTTACTGGTTGGTAAAAACTGCTGGCTTCTTGGTGCTTTTTGGTTTTTCTCAATAATATTTTGAGTACAAATATGTTGTGGGTGTAAGCAAGAGTACATTACCCCAAGAGTGTGCAACTGCCTGCACAACCTCTATGCTGTGCTGCGACGGCAGAACTTCACATCACGTGACATGGTTCAAAAGGTTACACTGGCAAACAGTGTAAAGTGACCACAAGAGAGTTGTACCCAAAGCTGGGTTGCGTACAACCCTGTATCAATCATGCACAGAGTGCAAATAATGTGTACGGTTCATCACGTGATGTGAAGTTCTGCCGTCGCAGACCCCATAGCTGGAGTTGCACACTCTTGGGGGGTTATGTACTCTTGGTGTAAGTGAATGCTAATGTATTGTAGGTGTACCATATTTCCCCGAATATAAGTCGCACCTTTTTACACTAAAATTCAAGGGTGAAAAGGGGGTGCGACTTACGATCGAGCATGACTTGCTACTGAAGTGAATAATAGAGAGGTTCCGCATAACGTAATTACGATAGTAAAAACCGTAGTCGATCTACGGAAAGTCTTACGTAAACTGCATGCGCATCTGGGTTCCGCCATACGGAGTTTTCAAATCACGTAGCTGCCCTTGGCAACTCCGAACGCGGCAGTGTACGACCAGATCGACCTGGGGAGAGAGTCATAAATTTGTACCCCAATCCACTTACGGACCAGCTACGTTATCAGAGCCCTATCTACGTACTCTCCGTAGAGAACTTTCCGTAAGTGGAGTGCAAACTCGCGAATTCACGGGTTTTTCCCGCCCACTAACGTAAAGTAGCTCAACTTTACGTAGTGCGGAACCTCTCTAATATCGAAACATGGCCCAAACCTGAAAATGGGGAAGCGACTCACAATCAAGTGCGACTTGTATTCGGGGAAATACGGTATGTGAATGCTAATGTATCGTAGGTGTAAGCTATGTATGTGAATGCATTCAATACGGATGCATGTGAGTGCATTCAATACGGATGCATGTGAGTGCATTCAATACGGATGCATGTGAGTGCATTCAATACGGATGCATGTGAGTGCATTCAATACGGATGCATGTGAGTGCATTCAATACGGATGCATGTGAGTGCATTCAATACGGATGCATGTGAGTGCATTCAATACGGGTGCATGTGAGTGCATTCAATACGGGTGCATGTGAGTGCAAATATGTTGTATGTGTATGTGAGTGCTAATTTATGGGGGGGGGGGGGGGGTATGTGAGTGCTTATTTATGGGGGGGGGGGGGTATGTGAGTGCTAATTTATGGGGGGGGGGGGGGGGTATGTGAGTGCTAATTTATTGCGATGTACATGAGTGCCAACTTACTTATTGTGGGTGTGTGCCTTTGGAATGTTTGCCTTTTGCAGATCTCCTTCAATCCGAAAAACAAACGTCTTTTCCGTCACATGTCCAATCGCTGCAAGGAGCTCCGAGCTGATCTAGAAGATTCACACGAGGCTACGCTAGCGGTGTCCGACGTTTCCAGGAGTAACCGCGGCAATGATGGTCATCGTGGTCGCGGTCGTGGTGGTAGCAGAGGTCACGGTGGCAGAGGTCGCGGTGGCAGAGGCGGACGAGGTGGTGGTGCTGCTGCAGCCGTTGTCGACGGTGATTCCGCAGATGCCGTTGCTGGCGACGACGAGTGTGTTGTCACGTGTGTGGCTGGGAGTCAGGGCGACCTGGATACTGTCGCAGAGCAGGTGAGTTCTCCTAACCACTAGGTGTGCATGTTACACGATTGCTTTAACCCATTGAGGGCTACAGGGCCTTTCATCTGAGGCTCTGAAGAAAATGCTAAAAATAGGGCCAATGTAAAGCTCCACAACTTCATAGTCTAAGCAACTAGGTTGTTGAACTCTTGTGAAATGTTGACCAAGGCTATAATCATCACGTTGACGAACTCGATATAGTTCCCAGAAAGGGGAAAAAAAGTGCTATATGACACGTAAGTTCATCCAAAGTGGGTAAAATACGAAAAAGTCGCCAATTTGAGTTGAATCACCGGACGAAAAAGAAGAAAAAAAGTATCCAAGCGGGGTTCGTACCCGCAACCTTTCGTACTGAATGCAGGAAATGTACCGCTCGACTCTGGGGTCTCCGTCAACCCTACGCTGGAACACGGAGCTTAGTACGGTAGGATAGCCTGTCAGCCCGAGTATATTCGGGCTCAGCGCCCTGACGTCATTCTGAATCCCGAATATATTCGGGCTCAGCAGTCAATGGGTTAACCCTGTGAATATACTCATAATTTGTTTGGAATTGCGCCACGGTCTATGATTTCTCAGGCAATATGCCCATTGGGCGTTGCCAAAATCAATATGGATTTCGTGAGTAATGCATGTGAGTACGCTGGGATCAGCAATGCACTGTTCAACACCCCACACGACCATGCCTAGGTGTGGCTGTGTGGGGTGTTATGTGAGTACGCTGGGATCCGCAACACACTGTTCAACCCCCCCCAGACGACCATGCCCAGGTGGCTGTGTGGGGTGTTATGTGAGTACGCTGGGATCAGCAATGCACTGTTCAACACCGCAGACGACCATGCCCAGGTGGCTGTGTGGGGTGTTATGTGAGTACACTGGGATCAGCAATGCGCTGTTCAACACCCCCACACGACCATGCCCAGGTGTGGCTGTGTGGGGTGTTATGTGAGTACGCTAGGATCAGCAATGCACTGTTCAACACCCCCACACGACCATGCCCAGGTGGCTGTGTGGGGTGTTATGTGAGTACACTGGGATCAGCAATGCGCTGTTCAACACCCCCACACGACCATGCCCAGGTGTGGCTGTGTGGGGTGTTATGTGAGTACACTGGGATCAGCAATGCACTGTTCAACACCCCCACACGACCATGCCCAGGTATGGCTGTGTGGGGTGTTGTGTGAGTACGCTGGGATCAGCAATGCACTGTTCAACACCCCCAGACGACCATGCCCAGGTGGCTGTGTGGGGTGTTATGTGAGTACACTGGGATCAGCAATGCACTGTTCAACACCCCCACACGACCATGCCCAGGTGTGGCTGTGTGGGGTGTTATGTGAGTACGCTGGGATCAGCAATGCACTGTTCAACACCCCCACACGACCATGCCCAGGTGTTGCTGTGTGGGGTGTTCTGTGAGTACACTGGGATCAGCAATGCACTGTTCAACACACCAGACGACCATGCCCAGGTGTGGCTGTGTGGGGTGTTATATGAGTACACTGGGATCAGCAATGCACTGTTCAACACCCCAGACGACCATGCCCAGGTGGCTGTGTGGGGTGTTATGTGAGTACACTGGGATCAGCAATGCACTGTTCAACACACCCAGACGACCATGCCCAGGTGGCTGTGTGGGGTGTTATGTGAGTACGCTGGGATCAGCAATGCACTGTTCAACACCCCAGACGACCATGCCCAGGTGTGGCTGTGTGGGGTGTTATGTGAGTACGCTGGGATCAGCAATGCACTGTTCAACACCCCAGACGACCATGCCCAGGTGGCTGTGTGGGGTGTTATGTGAGTACGCTGGGATCAGCAATGCACTGTTCAACACCGCAGACGACCATGCCCAGGTATGGCTGTGTGGGGTGTTATGTGAGTACGCTGGGATCAGCAGTGCACTGTTCAACACCGCAGACGACCATGCCCAGGTATGGCTGTGTGGGGTGTTGGTGCTACAAACTATGACATTGTACAATGGGCGTATACAAAGCTAATGCGACGATGTCATGAGAACAGGATCTATTCCCTTGTTCTCGTTGCGGGTCTTGTGCATACATGTATGGTTGACAGTACGCGTGTCATCCGTAGATGCAGGCGCGTAGCTCGTGTATAGTTAGCGTAGTCTGGTCGCCACACCAGCGAATGGCCGTCAAAATAGGCGAAATGGTGACTATGAGGTTACCGGTGGCACATGGTCACCACACTACAGATGTTGCTCTGGTACAAGGTCACCACAGTACAGATGTACAGTCTGATACATAGTCACCACACTACAGATGTACAGTCTGATACATAGTCACCACACTACAGATGTACAGTCTGATACATGGTCACCACAGCACAGATGTACAGTATGATACATGACGGTATTGCTGCTGAGGATACATGGTCACCACACTACAGATGTACAGTATGATACATGGTCACCACACTACAGATGTACAGTATCATACATGACGGTATTGCTGCTGAGGATACATGGTCACCACACTACAGATGTGCGAGCTGCGCCCCCGAGAACGACCTC